CGGGCAACATCGGGTTGTCTGGGGGCATTCTATTTACATTCTCATCTATCACTTTTGGCATTCTATTAAACAATAACACACATACATTAACACAAGATCGGACATAAACATACCAAACTATTTTAAGAAAATACAGGATTTTCTTGTGATTACAAAATTATGCAAATCATTTTCTCAAATATACTTATGAACTCACCAACATTTTTATGTTGACCTTTTTAAATTAACTTGTATTCTCAGGGACTCGTTAAGCAGAAGAATTAACAAGAATATGGGATTTTGTTTTGTGTACTGTTAAACATCATACATTGAATGTTTTGGTCATGTTATTTAAAAGATTGTACATAATGTAAACAATGGCAGTTGTATTATATTATGCATGGTGATGATGATGTTATGTTTCATTTATATTCACTGTTATGATATTTCAAGATGAATTCACGCACAAGCCCCCGGACGTTTCCGCCGTCTGGTTCGGGGGTGTGACACAAGTTCACCACTCCGGATCCCCATCAAAGCAAAAAATCAGGCTGGTCCCAAGAAGAAATCGATCGAGCACTTGAGGAAAGCATTCAGATTCAAGCTCTTAAAGATAAAGCTAATCTGATGCTTGGGCTCTCACCTCTCTGCCGCGAAGGAATTATTCATGATTTGGACATAGTACCGTTCATTTACTATGATATTCCTAATTGACGATTCGGAACAACTTGATCTACCGCTATCTCCTTACAGCAAGTACTATACAACGTTTGCTCCTTTGAATTCGAATGATGATCCTCAATTGATCATCCGAACTGAGCGTGAACGATTGAAGACCTTTTATAATAAGAATGCTCTTCCCCAAAAGGAAGTGTGGTCTAGAAAAAGGATCACCAAAATCTTTGGGTTTGCAAGGAAGGTCCTAACCAAGTTCGACCTCAAATGTATGTTGTTTTGCTACTACCACCTCCAGAATAAACCAACCCAATACACCATCACTGACGTTGATTTCCCTACAATAAATCCAAACGACATCCTAACCATTGCTGCTCATTTCCGAAACCATCAAACTAACGATCTCAAAATGGGAGCCTATCACGGTGCCTTAAGCTTCCTCAAGGATTATGTGGCTGAATTCTGCCGATGCGACTATGAATTGGAACATCTATTTGGAACTGAAAACTACTTATCCAAAATCGACTATGTTCTGCCAAAAGCTGAGTTACTGGCTGAAGGGCCCATCGATGAACCGGTGCTAGGGTTTGTCTACAAGCAACGAAAGACAAATAAAAAGGAATTCTTTCGAGTCCTTGACAAACACCAAGTTCCAACTAAAGCCCTTCAAAAATTCATCAGTCGTGCATCCAAGTCCGAAGCACCCGAACATGTCAAGGCAAAGTTTGTGAGTCAGCTACAATGGTACATTGAAGTCAGAGAATGGTTTTACCGAACATACGTTTTCATCAGTGAAGAAGCAAACTGAGCTGACCTGATTGCTAAGTTCACTTAGGCGGAGATTGTTGGAACCTGAAAGTGAACCTCTAGCAATCTCCATCTTTTGAATGTTCTGAAGTAAGTTTGTGGTACGGAGTCAAGTTGGTGTCCGGAATAGAGTGAATGATTAAGTGCAATTGTTCCGAAATGGTGTACACTTCCGAATGTGTCTTTCTGTCTTTACATTTATTATTCTTGTCTTTTAGTTTGATGTAACCGTTCATAGGACTCGGTTTATTTTATCAAAGGGATAATCAGAGTGTCAGATGTAACTCTTTTGTCCAGTCTTGTGTATGTATTCAAGTTTGTACGATGTACACCTTCTCCTATATAAGGAGCTTTTAATGATAAGAATAGTAGACGGATTGTTCCTCCAAAGATAAATATTTTCACATTTACTTCACTTAAATCTTTCTCTCAAATAAAACTCTTTCAAACATTCTACTTGTTCATTTATTGTCCTTACTGTGATCATTATCGTCATTCTTCATTTATGGCTTGAACACTATGTTGAATCTCGTACTTCAGAATTGACTGGTTTACCAGACTTGACTGGAACCTTCATTTAGTAGCAGACATTGATCTTAAGCATTAATTCAAGGTTTGAGCTTTCGAAACTTGTCCCTGCGCAATCAAATCCTTTGTTATCACACATTGTCATATGGCACCATTTTGAGCTAGCCTTAAAAGTACATATCTCATAGGCTTGAACAAGATAAAATGATTTATATTCCATTTGCTTGGAAAATGAATTCATCATTTACACCATATTATGCATAGGACATGGTATTTGATTATGCTCTAAGCATGTCACAGGATACTAATTGAATACATGGTTAAGTCAATAGATGACTAAGAGAGTATTCTTAGAGTATTTTAGAAAAACTAAGAGAATTTATATGAGACAATCAGTTTAGAAAGGATCTTTATGGAAAGAGCTACACAAGATATTAATTTCTAAACATATATAAATAATTATGAATTATAATTGGATTTTTTACTTCATTATGGAATGAACGGTAAGTCTTGTTGGAATGAGGTCCAAGTAAAACATAATGACACAATCTACTACAAAATAAGAATACACTACTTTAGAAGTTGAATTCAAATATGATTAGATGAATAAGATCATTGAAAAACTATGTTGATTTCTGCCATTCAAGGATCACATAGAAATCTTTGTGACTTCTAGAGTATACTTAATCAAGCTAAGAGACTCTATGTCATGAAAGAACACCAATCATATTCTCGAAGATATTTAACTATACTTAGAGTAAAGTTAAGTATGGAGATGATAGTATTTATATAATTCACACAAATTAAAGTTTGTCAGATCCATTGACAAAGTCATTCTTTTGAGCTAAGTATGAATGGTCACACTTTAGCTACAAGACTTTATTATTCTAGAAATGAGTTTTTCATTCGGATTTAGTATTTGGATATTGGAACATTATATCAACAACTATTAGATAATGTTATGATATATTGGGATATAGTCATCACATTAATACTTGTTGTGTTCTATATTAACATGTTTAATCCATGAATAATGTTATTATTCTAAAAGTTCATAATCAGCTATAATTCTGGGAGCAATTATAAAGTAAGGCTAATATGAATTGGATTGGTTGACTCTCACTAGATGAAAGTAGGTAAGTAGTTGTAGCCAAGTTTCATAGGTACTTGTCAGAGAACTAGTATTGAACTGACTCGCATCAAGATTATCTCATGGATCGCTATCATGAATGATAATTGATTAAAAGATATTATCTTTGTATCCTTAACACCTGAGATACATAGTGGGAATTAAGTGTAGGGAGTACTATGCTTTGATATGGTCAAATGTCATTCCTTAACCGGGCAGTTATAAAAGCCATTTTCAAGTATGGTGTGAACTATGCAAGAGGCTTATGTAGTCAAGATGGGATTTGTTCCTCTTATGTGTTGAGAGATTGACATCTAAGGTGCCTTACCAAAAGGTGAACAACTAATTAGATTGATCGCGATCCGTATCTCATGTTCAACATGATGTCTGTAGCAAAGGGATAACTGATAAACTTACCTTATAAAACAATTGTAGGCTTGGGCTTCTGGGAATTGGGTGTTGATAGAATGGCACAAAGTCGTATGTTGATAGGGGCAATGAAATGTTGCTAGACATTCACCACTGTGTATATCAGTCTAGTATGAATCTTGTGCAAGTGGGAGATTGAAAGATCTAGTATGCTCAAGAATCATATAAAAGTGATATTGCTAATTAGCGTATTATACTAATGGGTCACACTAACAACAACTTGATATAATTGATTATTCATTAGAAATTGATTGTAACAAATATTCAATAAACTCTTATAATTAAATTGGAAATTATTTATTTCTAGGAAATAATAATTTTCATTAGCAAGTAACATTATATATAATTCATATGGTATGAATTAATAAGTCATGCACAACATTTTGAACTAGATAAATTCTTTTATCTTTTACCAAAAAGTTAAATTTTATATTTTATAAACTTGGTTTATAAAATATATAGCTTTTGTCTTCTTCCTTTTATTATTTTTATAAAATAAGAGTCAAAAGACAAGAGTATGGCTTTCATGTTAATTTATTCAAAAGTAATAGGTATGGGAGAAAGCATGGGGGACAAGCTTATCTAAAGGGATTAATGGTTAAGGACCTTTAGATTAAGTCTTCACTTTAACTAGCTTAGAGGCTTTCATGTTGTGTGTCCTTCTTTACATGCAAATTTTGGAAATTCCTATGCTCTCCCTTGTTCTCTCTTGTTTTGTTAAGAACACTTGAAGATTACTTGCATTTATACTCTCTTGAAGTTCATACTTTGGTTATAAACTTCAAGCTTAAGAGTTATATGAGTTTTACAAGACTACCATCTTACATCAAGTTGAGTCATTGTTGGTGTCTCAAAGGTTCCACATTCTTCATCAACTTCCAAGCCTCCCAAGAGAGCTCAAAGAACAACAAAGGTTGTTATTTCTTCATCCTTTCTATGGTTGGTGTTTTAATCTTTCTATAACTTGCAAGAAGATCCTTGGTGGGTATAAACTGTTTATGTTATTTCAAAAAATTTAAGTTTTCCGTTTGTCATATTTTGTAGTCTTTGAAACTATTTTTGAACTAAAACCCAACAAAAGACAGTCCAAATCGAACTTACTTTGAACCATACTTCCTTTTGGGGTCGTGTATTGCTGGAATAAAAGGTTCTTAATCTATCATGCTCAGTTCGGAAGATTGTTTTAGGATCATCGGTTGGATGCAGAGGTGTGAACTTGATATAGTAGTGTCCATGAGGAGAGATTGGCAAGTCGAGTTAATCAGCATCATGAGTTGGAAGATCAAATACATAAAGGGCACAAAATGTATATCATGAATGATTCCTTTTATGAAGAGAGGAGAAATGCCCAACATCGGATTTGGATTATCTTTGAGAGCTTGAATCCGAATGCTTTCTTCCAATGCTTGTTGAATTTGACCGTTGGACCAGCACTCAGACTTTCTGAATGACTTCACTGGGCTGTCCGAATCTGTAGCAATCTTTTTGCCTTTGCTTGGGAGTTGTTACCTTTTTCAAAAATGAAGGAGATGATTTGATGACCTGATTCATTGATGAATAACTCGGATGGAGGAGGAATCAGAGGCTCTTCAGGAATCTCATTAGGTTTCCGGGTGGGAGAACCTTCATTGATTTGAACAATCCTTGGAGCAGGAATTAGAGGCAGCGTTGACTGAGTGGCTTGGAAGGCGCAATTGTTATCACCCATTCTTTTGAGTCAACAAAAGTCAATGAAATGCATACTAGTTCAATCAAAGCTTGCATTAGATCAAACAAAGAGTTACAATTATTCATATCTAAGTTTAATACTTAGCTTAATTCATATTATATTTTAGTATAATTGTGATTATGCCAAGGTATTTTACATGAAAGCTATACCTTTGAAATCATGTAAAAGCTTAAAACAAGTCAAATGTGTACTAGTGTAAGTTAAGGGGATTAAACTTTAAAACTTACAGGAAATTATAATATATGTACATATATATATATATATATATATATATATATATATATATATATATATATATATATATATATATATATATATATATAGAGAGAGAGAGAGAGAGAAATCGGTTTTGAATCAATAATGCAATCCAAAAACCGAACACCCTTTTTGGATTAAAAGCAAAACCGAATTCCCCACAAGAAAAGAGGCTTGACCGAATTGTGTTTTCTCTTTGACCCTAGAAACCGAATTCACACCTCATTGGATGAATAGCACCAAATTCTCCAATTCACATTGACTTGAAACCGAATTCTCTTCATGTTGTCCCACCTTAGGACTGAACACAAGAGGAATTCGGTCATGAAGGACCGAATTCACAAGGATAAGGCCTTAAACGGCCGAAAACCTCAATGATGATATGTTAGACACATTTTCCAAAGCTTACACCGCCTTACCTTCTTCTTCATACTTAAGTCATTCTATCCTTCATTTGATACAATCAGTGTCCACAAAACTTTGTTATTCTCTCATGTATCAAAGCCATTCTTTGTATCTACAAGCAGTTAAACTTCAAACATTCAAGAACACATCGTACATCTGCATACATAATTCCTTCACTAATAGTAAGTATTTTCTTACAAACTATTGTTTTACTGTAATCAATTACTTGATAATTTATTTTTAATCAATATTATGTATATAATACTATTAGGATACGTTTTTTTAAACACATATTCTAACCTGGAAATCGTCATTACCACCTCTTTATCACCCAAGAACACACATACAATGTGAGTTCATACCCCTACATTTTTACCATTTTTCACTGTTCTAGGGGGAATACAAGCCTAAGCACAAGAATATTGTGTTTACAATCAAATTATTTTTAAATATTTCTAAAACAACTTTAAATTACTGAAACTCTTTCAGATATTGTCAAACTCTTTTAAAATGTTTTATAAACTCTTTTTAACTTATATTTTGCCAAAATCATATATATATATATATATATATATATATATATATATAAAAATTTAAAGGGATTAGGACTAATAATTCGCTTTATTTCCCTTTTCCTTGTTTGGATGTGGGCTAAGGGTAGAACTATTTGTACGAATATATATATATATATATATATATATATATATATATATATATATATATATATATATATATATATATGAGTATAAAAGTTAATTCAATCAGATTTATATACCCTTTGTAACATGTCGAGCAAAGGGGATACTTTCATGAATATTACACATCAAACAGAAAACATATGTAAATTATAATAGGTATAATTTATGGAAGTCTCAAACTATTTGCATGAACTAGTTATACAAAGTTTAACAGATTACTCTTATACAAATACTTTACATTCAAGTATACTAGAGAAAGATCATAATATCATATTATCATTTGTTTAAATTGGCTTTTTATCAATTATTATATATACGTAATCGTCAATATGCTTTTTGTGAGACAATGTTTAGTTATTATTCATTTAGGAAATACAGTTAAAGTCCTGATATTATAAAACCAGAATCTCCAGTCAGAGAGCGAGACAAATGTGTATAGATCTATATGGGATTGACAATCCCGCACTCAGACTGTTAGCTACAGCCGGGCAGGCATGCATATGAGTGACAAATGTCGTTAACAGTTCTGACACCTACAAAGCGTCGTAGCAGGCCAGCTTGTCATAGTATGGTTATAATAACTCACCAAAAAGATATGAACAAATACGATTAGTATATAATTAATTAAACCAAAGAGTACGAATACAAAGTACTGGTTTTACAATAATGCGATTTACAGTATTACATTACAATTACAGCTGGTGGATCCAGGCATATTCATTTTTACAAGATATTTATAGAGTATAATTACAAAACTTAGAAAAACATAAACAATACAGAAAACATTCTTTTTGCGGTTTTATGGTATTAAAACTACTTTTCAGTTATATTAGAAAATATTGGATTTTCTGAAACAATAAACATGGTTACTATTTCAAGAAACAAACAATAAACTTTTAAACATAAATACTTATGCACTCACTCAACTTAAATGTTGATACTCTCTTTTCAAAATACTTGTATTCTCAGGGAACCAGTAGACAGGTACATCCCCTGGATTTTGAGAAGACGGTGTTGTATAGAGTCATGTATTCTATCTTTTTTTATAATACTTTTGAGGTCATATATACAATGACTTGAAAACATATGTAAAACTTATACATTATTAATGCAATGTTTGTTGTACTTTGATTACTATAATGCATGTGTTGTGATACTTAACATGAACTCATCCACCCCCGGACGTTTCTGCCGCTCCGGTTTAGGGGTGTGACAGATTGGTATCAGAGCATTGTTTATAGTGAACTCAGTATATCAATCTATAAAACATATACAACTATAAATACATTGGGGCTAAGGAGCTCTAACTATAAGTATACTTTTAAAATCTAAGTATTTTATAAGAAGTATACTAACACTCATACATACAAGAACAACATCACTGTCATAACAACATAAAAGTATTTGGATGTTGGACACTACAGTTAAACCTGGACAGTTATGTAATCATATCTGGAATAAATATAGCCTGATCAACTATATTTATTTGAGATACAACCAACATGCGTTTGGGAGTGATAGTAGTGTTGCGACAAGTCTAAAACTTACCAACTCTACATATACAAAAGAACTCTAGAACAAAACATAAAATTTAAAATACTATAGGAGTATTTTAGGCACCATAATACTAAGAACCAACTATGTGAAAACAAAGGACTCTTGCTGGTAGACCTATAAGTATTAAGTGTATATATTACCTTTATATATAATTAAGGTTTTATAGACTTAGAATGTGTGGTTTAGCTTTACTTCCTTTTCCTTTTTTGGATGTGGGTGTAGAGTAGGATCATTTATTTGAAAGTTTATTTGACCCAAATTATATATAATTGGTATAAACTTTGTGGTTATAGAGGGACCCAATATGATTCATACCATACAGAATACATTAACAAATTAACTATAAATTTCTTATATGCAAATTTGAAATTATTTACTTATCTTTTCTAAATCTATTAAATACCTCTTATATCCCTATTCTCGCATAGATAACATGGCTGGATTTCATCCACTGGGAGGCCCGTTCCCTCCTAACCAAGGAAACGGGGGTTGGATAGAAGAAGACTTCGAAGAAGATTTTCCGAAAGATTCCGATTCAGAACCAGAAGTCTATAATCCACCTCAAATTGCTCAAAATCTCAATCCCCGTCAGAAGTTCCAAGGTCCGACACCGCAGTGGGCAGTGAACTTAGATAGATGGAGTCATGAGCAGGGTCAGGACCGCCCTTACAATGGAGACCGAAGTTTATACAACCTTAATAAAGGAGGATCAGCAGATAGAGCTCTCCCTGTGTTAGTTCGTCAAGTTGCACGTAACGATGAATAAGGAAGAACTGACAGCGATCGAGTCATACAGGTTGATGCTACCACTAGAGTGAACACGGTTCATCTTCACCAGCTGATTCAAAACCATGAAACAACCAGGAATCATACTGAAGCCTTGCGAAGGGAACTGGCTACAAACCGAACTGAAATTGGAGAACTTCGAGAACGCCAAGCGACACTAGAAAGGCGTGTGTTTGCAACAGAACGCCAGTTGGCTAAATCCAAGGCTGAAACTAGTAGCAAAACAAACAACACTCCTCACGAGTAGAGAATACTCTACTCACTCTTTTGAATATAGTATATAGTTGAAGTCTAAGTATATACACTAGTGATGTTTTCATGTACATAGTACGACCTCGAAATTTCACTTGCGATAGGTCGGTATACTGTCAAAATTTTCCGTTAAGTTGGTATATTGTAGACCTACTTCAAGGTTAAATTTTCCGAACTCTGTGTATCTAATATACCAATGAAAATTGACAGGCAACTTATTTCCTTTGAAAAATCACTATCCAATTTCATGTTATCACTTTACAAGTTATTCCTTGTGGTAGACTTCTATATAAACTCCTTTCAGAATTCATGCTGAACTAGTGTATTTGATTCAAAGACATCTGATTTATAATCTCTATTGATGTCTTACTATCTTTTTATCTTTTGAATCTTAAAGCAAAATATGCCTCCAAGAAGAAATCCAAGGCGTATAAATGTCAATGCAGTACCAACACCACATCCACCTCCTCCGCCGCCACCTCCACAGTTTGACGCTAATATGTTTCAAGCAGCGGTCACTGCAGCTATAGCAGCCGCCATGTCACACATAAATACAACCGGTGCCAGCGGATCTGGGAGTGGTGCTCATCCCTTAAATCATGGTGAAAGTCAAGGACACCCACGGGAGTGTACATATAAAGACTTCATGAATGCCAAACCTAGGACCTTTAATGGGACTGAGGGAGTCATGGCTCTAACTCAATGGATAGAGAAAATTGAAGCGGTCTTTGAAATCTACTCGTGCCCTGAAGGTAGCAAGGTGAAATTTGTTGCATGCACATTTTCCGACTGAGCTCTTACATGGTGGAACGGCCATGTAAAGTCACTAACCCTTATAGTGGCTAATTCAATGAGTTGGGAAAATCTGAAATTGATGTTGATGCAAGAGTACTGCCCTAGAGGTGAAGTACAAAAGCTCCAGCAAGAGCTTTGGGGTCTTACCATGATTGGTACAGACATAGTATCTTATACCAATAGGTTCAGCGATCTGGCGATCCTATGTCCTAGAATGGTTCCTCTGGAGAG